GTGGTCTTCCAAGTGATTGGAATACACATCAGGAAAATGGCTTACTTAAGTTTGCGAACATCTTAATGGATACCTTGCTTGTACTTGTAAACGCTAGCACCTATGTTAATTCATTCAGTCCTGAAGCTACACCGCTGTAAACCAGTATGGTCAAGACTATCCGACAGCATGTCAGGCTCATCCAAACTACGACCAGGGCAGCCGCGGCAAAGCCAAATCGCGAGTTTTTCTTTCGGGTCAACGGGAGGCGTGAACAAACTATCCGATTTAGCAGCTGTTGATTGCTATACCTGCCAGAAGCTCCCCCGGCCAAAGACAGAAAGCCACGCTCGAGAAGGAGTCAGTGAACCGATATATTACCATGTTTTCGAGATACCGGTTCTCGAACACTCAAGTAAGGATCGAATTTTGCGGATGTAATGCACGACGGTTTTGATTGCAGCTTCATGCATTCCTGTTTCCGTTACCTTGCGGCGAGACGATGAGCACTTCCAGAATTGTAAAATCTCTTGCAGAGAGCCAAACATCGATAACACACAGGATACGCAGTAGAAAAAACAATCTACCGCCTTCGGTCATTCAAAAAGAGTGACGTAGACCCATGTGTGGTGAAAGTGTCGAACAATATTCAAGCCAACGTGGTGTTCAGTTTCTGGGTAATTCTACAAGAAACGACGTCTATTCGGCAACGTGCCATGCAATGCGCTGGCCTCGGTCTAAGATCATAACGCTTTGCCTTACCTAGACATCCTCATAGTCGCAAAAGAGAGTGGAGGATACGGCCTATACGACACTAGCGCAGTACTTGTACTTGAGATGGCTGTTATCAGCCCTGATCTAGCTGGCCTCGATGATGTTACGCATCTTACCTTTCTACGCGCAGCGATTTGTGATATCAGGTCTGCAAATCTCAACCCATTCTCTTTTTCAGTGATAGAGACCGAATACCGAAGGTCAAAGAACCGTTTCTATGTCCTGCGAAACGGTGTTGCACCAAGTGTTGAGTTGACCTGCTATTCGACGTCTCCAGGCGGGCTGTGGTGCAGGATCGGGGCAGTGTGAAAAATATCGTGAGGCAGACAATGGAGAACGTACCAAAACCGCTTTAGTTGTCTTTCTTGGATGGTCTGAGATACCCTCGCGATTCTTGCGTGGCCAGTACGGAATGTCTTATTTGAGAAGAAGTGGGTATACTTCACTCGAAGCATGATCCTTAGGCAGCGTTGGCCAAATACCTCTAGTTTTAGCTTCACGCGCAAAGCACAGCATTAAGAACTTTAGAGGAGGACTGACCGGACGGATGTTCAGTACACATGGGTCTTCGTCGCGATAAAGATATCGCGTCCGATGCATAGTCGCTTTTGACGGATTGAAAATACCCGGCGACCAACATCGATTTGGGAGATTATATCGTTCTAACTCTGTCCATTCTGCAGCAGCCTTGCCTTGAGTTAGAGAAATGACCAATCGTCTGGCTGAAAGCTCCAGCCAGCCGACATTAGACCCTGAGTGACCTCGTGAGTTTCACCAATATTCACATCCCATCGGTCATGTTAGGTGACTGCCTGGTGCTGCAAGGATTGAGGTTATAGTTACTTTAGCATACCACCAATCGTCTACAACTTGGGTGGCTTTCAGTTGGCATCTGCTGCGACCAGGATGCGTATGGAAGTCCTTGGCAGAGGTGATTGCGAGTGTCATCACCATCCAATAAAGCAAGGTAATTCATAGCACCCTAATAGTGGCTTTCGGGAACGCCTTGAAATGCAGATGCAATCACGCTCTGAAAACTCTGTGGCCCAAGCGCAAATTGCTGTCTGCGCAGTTTCGCGTAGTAGCGACAGTGGATGACTGAAATCGAATTTATTCATCTCAACTTAGTGACGGGTTTCGAATTGGCCCAAACAGGTAAAGCTCGGAATACGTGATAGGACTGTTAAGACACTTATCCAACGGAGGAAAGAGGAGGGGGAGGATCAGGGACATAAACGTGAGGTGCAACTGGTTACCGTTGTTGAAGCAGAGTACCCGCGTCCACATCATCAAGCATAGGCGACAAGAAGTCCTTAATTGTCACAGTACTGGCTTCCGGTTTGAGGCCAGAGTAGGCAAAGGTAAGAAGAGCCTCTAATACCCCACTGAAAAAAATACCGGTAAACTTATCATTCTATGACCAGCGTTTTTACCCCAAGGGCAGAATGAGTGCGGTGGCATTGACATTGTCGTCACCACCGCTGCCAACAAACAGCTCCTCGAAGTAAGGCATTGATGCAGCCAAAATAACTTTGTGTGCAAAGTGTAATTTTCCATCCACCTAGAGCACAACATATAATTACTAACGCAAGCGGGAAAGTACCTCAAAGACAAAGTCACACAACTCCTTGCGGTAACGAATCTCGGCAAATTGACCAAAGCTGTATTCAGTGAAGGTAGGAGTTAAAACCATGCTTTTGTTTTGGCATCAAAGTTAGCCGTCTATATTTGAAGTGGTAAAAGACAAATGAAAAATGCTGTCAGCGAAAATTTTTCAGAAGGTTAGGGATTGCATGATACAATTCCTTAGGAAAGAAAACTGGATACTATACTCGGATGCCCGCAAACCCAAAATTGGCCATTTATTATATGGGAAACGTGGACCTATAATTGAGGCTATGCCTTATTTGGAAGGCTTAAAGATGAGTTGGTAGAGGGAGGCAAATATTTTAGATGGGTTATACACACTGCAGGCCAGTAGAGAAGAATTAATCGACGTTTAAAGGTTGGCCATTATCAAATCTATATGACAATTTTGCGGTAAATGTAAACATTTTCAAAAATGTCTCGACAGTTTAATAGGCTTGACATGATAGATATCAGTAAGCCTGAAATAGGTGTAATCTTGACTTTTATCTTTTTACCAATATACTCACACCATTTACCTATGATTAGGGGTAGGCGTTTGCCTTCTGGGTTTCACACTGTCATATAAGATGCTAGTTTGTTTTACAATACTAAACCACCCGAAACAGTCATGAGGCACTGATAGAAACTTGACATTACAGTTTTAGACCCCTATTGCAGTCACAGTTATTCATTAGGTGAACTCTGCGTATGTGAATATCTTTAAGCGAGACCACTGGCGTTAGTCAGGCGTAGGGTTGGCTGAACTGGACGTAATTACATAATTAATTTGCTAAGGCAAACTTGAAACAGCAGCTGTCTCGGTACCCCGTGACTATCGACCTACATCATACAAGGGGAAT